TCATCTGTCGATGGACATCTTGGCTCTTTCCACAGTTTGGCTATTGTGGACATTGCTGCTATTCCTTCTGAACTTTCACACATGCTATTTCCTCTGGAATTTGAAGCTTAGCTTGCACTTGTTATTTGCTTTTTAAGTGAATAATGATAATGTATTCCTGATCTAGAACACTGTGTGTGTGCAGGAAAGGGAGTGAAAGGAAATATTTTTTCAATTCCCTTTTATTGTTCTAGTTCACACCCACCAGATAACTGTAATTTTTTTAAAAATGGGAAATAATAAGTGTTGATGAGGATGTGAAGAACCTGAACCCTGATGCTTTGCTAGTAGGACTGTAAAATGGTGCAGCCTCTGTAGAATACAGATTGGCACTTCCTCAAAAGGTTAAATATAGCATTATTAAATGACCCAGTCCTCCTCCCAGGTATATATCAAAAAGAATTGAAAACAGATGTTTACACCAAAACTTATAAATAAATGTTATAGTAGCATTATTTATAATAGTCCCCCAAATAGAAACAACTCATATCAAATGCATATCAACTGATGAATGGATAAAACAAATATGTTCAATCTAAACAATGGAGTCTTTTTCAGCCATTTGAAAGAATAAAGTTCTCATACATAATATCACACGGATGAACCTTGAAAACACTATGCCAAGTGACAGAAGCCAGACACAGAAGGCTGATGTATTGTATGATTCCATTATTGTCAAAAGTCCAGAATAGTCAAATCCATAGAGACAGAAAGTCAATCACTAGTGGCTAGGTGGCTGGGGGAAGGGGAAATAAAGAGTGATTGCTTGGTGAAGATGTGGTTTCCTTGTGGGGCAATGAAAATGTTCTGGAATTAGATATTGGGGATGATAGCACAACATTGTAAATGTACTAAAAGCCATTAAATTGAACACTATAAAATGGTTAAGATGGTGAATTTTTATGTTATGTGAATCTTACCTTAATCAAAAAGTTAAATAAAATGTTCAGTATCACATAAATAATATATGATGAGCATAAAGCTAATTAGTCTGTCTGATTTCAAAGTATTTGCTCTTACTCATTGTCCTAGCTCCCACGAAGGCAGGATTTCTCCAGCACAGAGATCTCACTCTTTCACATCTTTTCTGAGCTAAACCAAAGCATTTTAAATACTCATGTTATCAATTTTGTCCTGAATGCACACACAAAGTGTTCTAGATCAGGAATAGATTATCATTATTCACTTAAAAAGCAAATAACAACTGTGTGGTTTCCCATACCTGATTCTTACAACTAAGGCTATACAATGAAGGCTAGATCAAATGTCCCGTGCATGCAAAATCAAAGAGTGAAGAAAAATGTATTTTCCCTGCTTGTAGAAGCCAGGGAGATTATTGTTCCTCCCCCCGACTCCCCCTTCCTTCAGGGAAAGTTTCTTTGGAGTCTGATGAGAAATAAATCTCTCCAGAGAAAAAATGAACACTTGTCTTCAGCAATAAACCCAGCCATGTCTTTGTCCTTCTGGAATTAGATGAATCTCTCTGGAGATTTCTCACTATCTTTAGTTATCTCACTATCATTGTAAATTAACTTCCCAAGACTTGCTCTTGGCCCAGGATGCCAAGATTTTGGCAAAAATTACTCAGAAAACCCAACTCAGGGAAAACACAAAAATATCTTCTCTATACCCCAAATATACCAGGAGTCTGAGCAGACAGCTGAAAGGAAGTTCCATGGTTATGGAGGAAGGTAGAATTTCCTTGAAAATTCTTGTAGGGGCTTCTGAAGGAAGTGCAAACCCAGCCCACACTGCCTGGAATAGGGGCGGTGCAGACTGAGTATCTATGGTCATCTCCAATCCCAAGTGGGCGGCACACGACTGATAGGAAAAAACTGTGGGAGGACACCTTCCTGCAGCTAGAGTAACCCTGGTGGGAAAAGAAAGGAGGCAGGAGATAGAAGGACTTTGCTGTAGACAAAGGACGGAGGTTTTGCTTTGTTTTGTTCTTAACCTTTGACTATAAGGAGGGTGAAAGCTCATACCAGGGAGTATAATGAAATTAACGACAGTGACACAACACATTTGTACAGCATTTTATAATTTCTAAAGTGAACTTGAATACAATTTTTCTTGGCTCCTCATACCACAATCCTGTGAGATGGATGTTAAGGAGTCTAAAAAGAGGGTTGCTCAAGTGCAAATTAGGAGGGTGGCACAGGACACGCAGCATCCAAGCAGTTTGTGTTTCCAAACACCTAATTGTCTTGTTTTTTTTTCTCCCAATTTACAACAGTAAATATCAGTTCATTTGTGCACTCATGAGATCTATTATCATCAAATATTCCCATTTGTGTTACAAGATTGTGAAGGTGTTCTGTGAATAAAGTGAGCTAGAAGGGAGAACCTCCATATTTCCCTTATTTATGCACAATTTTGGTGTGAACTGTAATCTGTATTCAATATAGCTGTTGGGGAGGACACATAGAGATCTAAAAATCTAAATAGTACATGGAGAAGTGTTCTATAAATCTTATTTTTCTTTGGTAGAAATAGAAATATGTTGTTATTAAATACTGAAGAACCCTATAGACATTTAAAATAGTAACTTTACGCCTATAAATACATGGATTTTCAAGAACGTATTTACCTTTGAAATAAGGGACACATACAATTTGGGTCATCTCTATTCAATGAAAAAAGACTAATTTCACAGCAAGTAGAGCCTATCCTAAATGACAACTTATCTGTCCTCTTTTCTAATAGGACCCTTTCTCCTCACCTCTAAAAAACCACAAGAGTCAGTTATCCTCAGCAACATTTCCTTTTCAAATAAAACACAAGGTCCACTCAGCCACCGAATCTGTTTGGTCTTTACTCCATAGATAATTGAGTTCATCATGGGGGTAACAAGAACATAGAGATTGGCTAACAGGATGTGGATATGTTTGCTCCAACAACACTCAGTTTGTTTCCTGTGATTAAGAATTCCTCATATCAGTGAGATCATATGATACATGTCTTTCTCTGTTTGACTTATTTCAC